GGACTCCAGGGCTTCTTGGGGCCACTATTAAATAAAGGAAACCAAGCCTATTGCTGGTTGGTTCCAACTCGTGGTGATTTTTATAGGACACAGTTGACTGCCATACAGGGTTTTCAAGGCTGTGATGTTTATGGAAGCATATGACCACATCTTTCTCCTGGAGTGACTGGTGGGTTTGAACTCCCAACTTTTCAGTTAGCAGTCTAACCACTGCGCCACCAGGGCTCCTCTGAGACTCCATTACCCACTGCCATAGAATTGATGCTGACTCATAGGGCTTTCGAGACTGTAAACCTGTACCGAAGCAGATAGCTTCATCTTTCTCCAACAAAGTAACTGGTGGGTTCTAACCACAGGTCTGTGGTTAGCAGCCCAGTCCCAAACCCACAGTGCCACCAGGATTCTATTGTTGTGGGTAAGTGCTGGTCCTAACTTATAATACTCCTGTATAGGGTTTCTGAGAAGCAGCTGGTGGGTTTGAACTGCTGACCTTGTGGTTCATAGTCCAGTGCTGATCCATTGTTGTTAAGTGCCGTCGAGTGGGTTCTAATTCATAGCAACCCTGTATAGGGTTTCCAAGGAGCGGCTGGTGACTTTGAATTGCCAACCTCATGATTCAAAGTAGCCTTGAGGTCAAGTGCTTATTTGTTTGTAGTCCCTGAGTGATGCAGTAATGCCTTTGGGGACTAACAATTAGGTTGGACATTCGAGGCCTCAGAAAAATGCTAGAAGATCTACTTCTGAAAATTCAGCCATTGAAAACCCCACAAAAGCACAGTTCTACTCTGACACAAATGGGGTTTTCATGTAGTTGGATGGCAACTGATTTTCTAATTTGATTAGTCAAAGCTTTGTTGTTGTTGTTAAGTGCCACTGAGTTGGTTCTGACCCATAGCGACCCTATCTAGGGTTTCTGAGGAGCAGCTGGTGAGCTTGAACCACTGACCTCACAGTTGAAACGACTTTGTCGTCCAGCGCTTTAACCCCCAGCAGTGCCTGTTCAATGCTTTACCAATCTTCCATTTACACATCACGTCTGAGAAAAGCACCATTTGAGTCTATCTGTAGTTCTAAATGTTAATGTAGTTTTTCAAAGCAGAATTAAAAATATCTCCTGCATACCTGCTGAGTTTTAATTTCAATTTCTGAAGCTCCTTTCGGGGGAAGAATACACTGATTCTTTATTATAAGTCCTTCAAATTCATCTTCTTTCCCCATCTGTCTGGCTAGAGCTTTCATGCTGGGGTAGAGAATGTCCGTTCTGTTAAAGAAGAGAGATGGAAATTAGCAAACAGGTTTTTCTCATCCAGATTTTCTACTATGTTAGTTCATTTGTGTGTTTCCTGTCACAAGACTGTCACTCATCATTAAAAAACTTCCCAACTCATTCATAGTCACTCACATCCACATCTAAGTTTACCACAGTTGCTATTTTCTTAGTCAACATTAAATCCAAAGGCCTTTTCCCATATAGTACATATAATTTTCAGAATTTAATTGTCAAAATATTGATGTCTTCTTATTCCCTAATTACCAGGAAAACTCTGTCTTCTCATTCAAGGTGTATCTAATTACCAGACAAAGCTGACGGTAAGAATTTCACAAGGTGGACATTTTATGCTGAAGGCAACCTTCTTATGCTCAGTTAGACTCAGGGTAGTGGATTTGTACTTGTCATTGTTGTGATGTGCCGTGAAGTGGGTTCCGACTCATATGACCCTGTCCAGGGTTTCTGGAGCTGTAAATCTTTATGGGAGCAGAAAGCCTCATCTTTCTCCCACGGAACAGCTGGTAGTTTTGAACTGCTGACCTTGCAGTTCGCAGCCTGATTCATAACCACTACACTACCAGAGCTCCTTTTTAGTGAACGTTTATTGGGTACTGGACACATAGCATAAATGATGTCTTTGTTGTCAGCTAAGTCACCCCAGACAGGGCCTGTTGCGTACTATGGAGTCAGTTCCAACTTGTAGTGACCCTATTATGTGCAACAGAACAAGTCACTGCCTGGTCCTGCACTATATTCAGAGTCATTGCTGTCCTTGAGCTCATTGTTGCTGCCACTGGGTCCATCATCTCGTTGAGGCTCTTTCTCTTTTTTCCTAACACTCTCCCAAGCATGATGTCCTTCTCCAGGGACTGATCCTTCCTGAGAACATGTCCAAAGTCTGTGAGATGAAGTCTTGCTATCCTCACTTCTAAGGAACATTCTGGCTGCACTTCCAACACAGATTTGTTTGACCTTCTGACAGTGCATGGTATATTAATTATTCTTCCCTACTTCATAATTCAGTGGCATTAATTCTTCCTTGGTCTTCTTTACTTATTGTCTAGCTTTTGCATGCATAATTGGTGATTTAGAATAACATGGCTTGGATCAGGCACACCTTAGTCTATAAAATGACATCTTTGTGTTTTGTTTTGTTTTTTAACACTTTAAAGAGATCTTTTGCAGCAGATTTGCCCAGTCCCTTGATTTTCTGACTGCTGCTTCCATGGGCATTGATTGGGGAATGAAATCCTAGACCACTTCAAGCTTTTCTCTATTTATCATAATATTGCATATTGGTTTAGTTGTGAGGATATTCTTTTCTTTATTTTGAGGTGCAAGCCATATTGAAGGCTTTGATCTTCATCTGTATTGTAAGTCCTCTTCACTTTCAGCAAGCAAGATTGTGTCATCTGCCTATTGCAGGTTGTTAACGAGTCTTCCTGCAATTTTGATGCCACGCCCTTCTTTGTATAATTCATCCCGCCCACCAGCAGACAGATTGAATCAGTATGGTGTAAGGACACAACGCTGCCATACACCATTCCTGGTGTTAACCCTTTCATGACTGAATTAGTTTATGTTTATTAGATACGGTTGATGAAAGGCTTTTCAGTAATGGAATACTTGCTGCACAATTGAATCAGGTTAAAGCTGCATTCGGTAAAATAGATTTTGATAGCTAGTTTGGGGAAAACATATGTCCCCTTGGACTCCAGAGGTAGGATAGGTGGGGTGAGACATGAGAAAAATCATTTATTTGTAGGAAATATGGAGTAACCCATGAAGGCACTCGAGAATGGCTGCTCTAGTCTCTTCCTTGTTAATGCTGCATTCCAACACCACTTTCTAGACCCCTTGACAGGTAAATGCTTTCTAATCTGCCAGAATTGTATATCATTTGACATCCCACTTACTCCTGGCTTGTTCTTGACAAGAAAGCAGGGTCTTCCTCCTATTCTTTTAATTTTTCCAGCCCACAATAAATTGCCTAAGGAGAGAGCCCGAAGAAAATATTCTCAAAACACTGTGATTTGGTGCCACCAAGTATTTCTTCATTATAAATAGTTACACATGACCCCACAGGACATCAGCACATAACTATCAGTGGAATACTAGCTCACATACCAAGCACAGAGATGAAAAAAAAAAAAAATGCCAGTGTCCTATACATGTACTCCTGGTCATAATTGGATTAAACCATACAGCATCCCCTTGTTCTGTTTCAATCACTACCTCTTGGTCTACATACAGGTTCCACATGAGCACAGTTAAGAAGATCCATTCTTTGTAATGTTGTCCATAATTTGTTATGATCCCCACAGTTGAATGCCTTTTCATAGTCAGTAAAATACAGGTAAACAGCTTTTTGGTAGTCTTAACTTTAGCCAAGATCCAGTAGACATCAACAATGATTATCTCTCTTTCCACATCCTCTTCTAAATTCAGTTTGAAAATCTCCCAGAGTTAAGGACTGAAGCTGCTCAAAGTTCCCACCATCCTATAGACCTAAGGCATCACGTGGAACCATATTGATACCTCTGACTGTAACACAGGAAGTTTCTCAGAGGAGGAGTTCACAGCAGCATCAACTACTCATGTAGTGCTCCCTGGGATCCTATGAACTAAAGAGCTTAGAGTCAGCACAGTGGGGATGCTTCATAAGCACAAGTTGCCAGCGTCAGACTCTGGGTAAAAAATACACCGAGTGCCCAGGCTAAGAGTGTGGGATTTAGGGACAACTGGATTACCATATAAAGCCTACTGAACAGTTGAGTTAAACAGAATGGTTCAGAATAACAAACGCATGTACTACTTTGTGATGAGCGTTCAGGAAAGCACTGTCAGCCTTCAGTGTCCTTTGGCTGGACGCTGCAGAAAGCTGTCTGCCTTTTCTAATGGGATCATGATGCCGTTAACACTGTACTGTGTTGAGTGTGTAACTTTGTATTTGGCTTTAATTTTCTTCTCATTTACCTTTGTAACCATGCCTGTTCCAACTTATAAATTCAACTTAAAGACAGCCTTCAGAATGGCTCTCGTCAGGAACCCAGGGGCTGCATGTATACAGGGGCAGCTTCATGGAGTCCAGCTTTTCTCTGACGTTAATGTAACCTAGGTTCTCTTGTAAATCATTGTAGAGACATTGCCTGGCTTCTACTGGACTCACTGGAACTGGGTGTACTCAGATTGAAGGACCAAATGTTGCCCTCAGAGCAAGGGGCAGGAATTTGCTACCCTCCACGTTCTGCTAATTGACATGACTTTCTGCCTCAGCAAACAACACTCACCCGTAGAGCTCAGAGATGTGTCTGTAGAGAGATGCTGTGTTGATGTCCTGGCCTCGCAGCTTGACGCGGCCCCAGTGCTCCTTCAGCATCTCCAGCTGCTTCCACAGGATTAGGAATGATCTCAGCAAAGCGAGGGCTGGCACTGCATGGCACAAGCTCTCCCGGGCCTTGCAGAGCTTTTGACCACTTAGGAACCAGCTTCTGAATTCTGGCATTTTGGGCAACTCGGGCTGAAAGTATGACAAGCATCCTTCCTTATTGATCATGGTCTTGTGCTAGGCAATCTTTGATATGTTTGTTCTTAAGTGCTGTCCAGTTTATACCAACTCACAGAGACCCTGTATAGTGTTTCTGAGGAATGGCTAGTGGGTTTGAACTGCTGACTTTGTGGGTAGGAGTCCAGAGCTTATCCTACAGTGCCACAACAGGACTCTAATCTTTATATGGACCCCTTTGGAGAATGCTCACAGGCCTGTAGCCCACAGAGTTCACTGAGAGGTTATGCATCCCTCCTGAACAGGCAGTGGCCAGAGAGAATGAAAATGTCTCAATCTCAACTTCTGCTCAGGTCTCGAACCACCCGTTTTTATATAGCTTCCTTATATTTGCATTTAAAATGTTACCTGTCTTTGAACATGTCTTTCATGTTTAGCCTCAGAATCCTGGAAAGAATGTATGCTTTTAAACATACATGAGATTTAAACCCCACATCTCTCCCATGCCTCCATCATGACCTACTATATACTCTGACCTTACATTGGAGATTTTACCCACTTTGTGAGTGGGGAAATGAAAATGTCAGTTTCTCCTATCTCCTGTGGCTTTTCTCATCCTTTAAATGTTAGGCAGAGTTTGAACATTGTGCTGTTTTAAGAACTATCTGTGTGAGATTAAAATGACAGCAGAAATGCTGAAGATTAGAACGGAACTTAGGGGGCAGTGGATCTACATTAATGGGGGAGGAACAACTCGGAAAAGGAGGGTAAGTAAGAAAGTAAGAAGAATGGTTACATAACTTGAAGAATGTCCTCAATATTACTGAATCATGTTGGCTCTGCCATGTGTGTTTTCAACAAGAACAAAAAATAAAGGTTAGGCAGAACATTGCTGTTCATTTGACTTTATTATTCAATATGCAGTTTATTTGAAAATTGTAACTTGCTCATTCATTCATTGAGGCCTTCATTAAATCAGTATTTGTTGAGGGGCTTCTATAAGCCCTGGAAGACACAGAAGGTATTCCAGCCCCTGCTCTCCTGTAGCCAGTTTATGTGAGGACCAGGGTCACCCAGACAGTGACAGAAAACAAACCAGTATCCGGACTCTCCACCTGGCTATAGTGCCTAAGCCACAGTAAAATAGAGCTTTCCTTTGCAGAAGATGGCAAGTTCGAAAATGTTACAACAACAAGGGTCTCAAAGAACATTAGGATTGTAGAAGGCAGAATGAACGACCCAAATCCATTGTCTTGGAGTAGATTCTGACTCATAGTGACCCCACAGAATACAGTAAATCTTTCCAAACGCAGACAGCCTTGTCTTCCTCCTGCAAAGAGGCTGTTGGGTCCCAACTGCCAACTTTTGTGTTAGCCACTAAACTACCAGAGCTCCTTAGGATCAAGACCAGCCTCTGGTAATTGGAGTGTAGATTCATTTATTAACATATCTAAAGGCCTGCCAGCCAGAAGGAAGGCTAGTGAGAGTCTCTGAGGAAGAGTTGGCAAGCAAGACTGGGGAGAGTTAATTCCTTCAGACATTTGGCCTACTTCCTCAACAATCAGCTAGTCCAGATTTTTTGGTTAGCCTTGGGATCCTTTCATCAACTGAAATCTTATGCAGTGGCAAAAATGCCAAATACATCAAGGTCAAAGAACTGGTGACATGGTAGGGGCAGAGTAAAGGTCCCCACCCCTCAAGAGGTTGCCAGGTACCTCTGAGGAGACTCAGGATCCCTTGGACCTCAGCTTTGAAGGCTCCGGAGCTAATCTGTCACCTACGATTTGGTGTTTGGAAGACTAAGACCAAGAGAGAGCACAGAACTGGTGGCATGACTGGGCTAGAAACCCAGGAGTCCTGGTTCAATGGGCAGTAGAAGCCCTAATGCTCCTGTTATCTGTGCGTATCTTGTTGGGTGTTGTTAAGTCAATTTCAACTCATGACACAGTAGAATTGCCCCATAGTTTTCTAGTCTGTAATCTTTATGGATGCAATTCACCAGGTCTTTTCTCTTGTGGAACTAAATTGGTCTGAACAATCAACCTTTTGATTAGCAGACTAGTGCTTAACCACTGTGCCATTAGAGCTCCTGGTGAATATCTTAATACTCTTAAATAAAAACATACACTTAATTAAAATTAAAATAGTATTTTTAAAGCAAACTTGCTTGATTAGTATGCTTATGTTGAGAGGTCTTCTCTATGTAAGTGTTGTAAAGAATGATAGAAGGAATAGGAAACAGAAAAAAAGAGCAAGGTAGGGAAGTGTCAGGAAAAGTTGGTAATTTGTCAGAAATGGGGTCAAAAAAAGGTAAACAAAGAAATCAAGAGTTCAGCATGTTTTTTGAACTTGACATTTCTTGTTCTACACACAGTTTGACAGACGCTTCAATAAAGTATCTGCTTCTGTTGTGATATTTAGATGGCATGTTGAAGGCCACTCTTTTCCATTGTTCTGGAGTAGATACATGAGGCAGTTTCAGCCATCAAGGCACAGAGGAGATCTAGTGGAGGCTCTGGAAAACAGTTTCCTCTTTAACAAGCTAGAGCCCCTCAAGGAGAAAGCTTTTTTGCTTCTCTTTCCTTCTTTTAAGGATGGGGAAGACATTTGCTGACACACCTAGGATGGCAGAACTGGAGTCTTAGAGACATTATGAGTGGCTCCACCGAACCAAACTGCTTCCTTCTAGACACCTTGCTATGGAAGATTAATAAATAAGCTTCTCTGATTTAATTCATGACTAGTGGAGTACCCTAATTGACATAAAAGTAGCATTTATTTAAAGGTGGAAGATTGGGAAAAGCTTCCTAAAAAGAGTGACTTGGAAGTGGAAATCTGATGATTTATAGGATTAATCAGATGATGAGGTAGAGAGTGGGAGGAAATGGAGGTTTTCCACCCAAGGGATTAGCTTGAATGAGAGGTCAGAGGAGCACGTGAGTGTAGTGTATCTGAGAAAATGAGCGACAGTGAAGGCAGAAATACTATCAGAATCAAGTCATGAAAGTCTGGTTAAGGCACATGGAAGCCATAGAAAGTTATTAAGGAGGGAAATGACACAATCAGATTTGCAATGAAAAATGATTACCCTGGTGAATGGACACAGGAAAGAAGGGTAAACATAGGGTATCCAATATAAGGTTCTATCCAGAGCACAGCAATCATAGAAAAGGTTGGTTTGGACTGCTGGTAGTAGCAGGGGGAGGATGGAGAAAGGTAGAAAATTCAAGAGATATTAAAATAATAGGATGATAAATGTTGGTATCTGGTTGTAGGGGATCATAAAGAGGAGTCAAGAATGGTGCCCAGACTGTTTGGTTTAGGCAATTGGGCAGGCAGTGGTACCTTCCACTGTTAGAAAATTCAGGAGGAGCAAGTTTTGGGGGAAGAAAATCAACTCAGTTTGAGACTTACTGTCTTTGAAATGAAACATTCAAGTGGAGATATCCAGTAGGCAATTTCTGAACATATGAATCTCAAAGGTGAGAGATTTGGATGGGAGATATAAATTCTGAAGTCATCATATGTAATTGTCATCAAAGCTGTCAAAGTGGAGGATTTGCTTAGGGAAGGAAGGAAGAGTGAAGCAGCATAGCAGCCAAGTGTGTGATGACTTGGGGCCAGGCTGATGGGCTGCAATTGGTATATTTCTCCTCACTAGCCATGTGATTTGGAGCATGTTACTTAATCTTTCTGAACCTTGGCATTCTTATCTGTAGAATGTGAATAATAAAAATACCTATCTTATGCAATTTTTTGTGTGAGGATTAAGTGAATGCATATAAAGCACTCTGAACAGATTTCAGCTCACAGCTCATAGTGGTTGTCAATAGCAGGCAGAGTATTACGAAGCATAGGGTTTAACTGATGAAGCATAGGGTTTAATTGATGAAGCACCTAAAGCCCATATCATGTTTTAATTTATTTTAAAATGAGGGGAACAGGAACTAGTAGGTTGAATAAAATGCTTTAATACATTTGCCTTTATATTAACACAGAAGCTTAAATACAATTTTTTTAATATTTGAAAAGACAAAGACAAAAGTGCTAAGGACCCATAAATGTCAAAATGTGGCCCTTGTAGTCACAGTGTTATGTGCCATTGGGTCAATTCCAGCTCATAGCGACCGTATAGTGCCAGGGTAGAACACATCCATAGGGTTTTCTAGGCTATAATCTTTAAAGGGGCAGATCACTACGTCTTTTTCCTGTGGGGCAGCTTCTGGGTTTGAACCTCCAACCTTTCAGCGAGCAGTCAAGAACTTAACCATTGCTCCAGCAGGACTTTGGGTAGTAATACTGGTAGTAGGCCAGAACTCTGGAAACACCAGTCTTTTAGGAGTTAGCAAAAGTCAAGGAACCTACAAAGTAGTCTGAGAAGGAGTGGCCAGTAATGTTGGAAGAAAACTAGGAGAGAGTCACACTGTGGAAGCCAAAGCATGGGGGGCTTCAAGAAGGGCACTCTGTGTCACATGTTGCCGTGGGGTCAGGTGAGAAAGGTATCACGTGAAGGTTGTGACAAGGACCAGGCTTCTCATGCCGAGAGTGGTTTCAGTGGTGTGAGGGGGACGAAGATGGACTGTGGGGTTTTTGATGAGATGGAAGGTAAGACAGTAGGGATAGTTGGTGTAGGCATCTTTCCAAAAGTTTGATTCTGAAAAAGAAATTCATTAAATGGGACGTGTCCAAACAAGTCTCTGGTTCCAGATGCACATAAAACTGTTTAAGGTGAAGTTTACCATATGAGGTAGGCTAGTGGCTCTTGATACCTTAGAACTTCAGAGAGACAAGTTCAGAGGACAGAGGGTTTGCCTAGAGGTTCACAGATTTGTGGAATGATGTGATGAGAGCCCACTCTGAAATGTTCACTGGGAACCTCTACCCTAGCCCTCTGGCCTTTATAACGCTAGTCCTACATGTATAACAAGGAGCTCTGGTATCGTAGTGGTTACGAATCGGGCTGCGAACCTTAAGGTCAGCGGTTCGAAACTACCAGCCGCTCCGCGGGAGAAAGATGAGGCTTTCTACTCCCGTAAAGATTTACACCCTCGGAAACCCTGTACAGGGTCGCTATGGGTCGGAACCGACTCAATGGCACTTAACAACAACAACAACATGTATGACTCACCAAGAAAGAGCATTCAGTTGGGTGTTTTATTTGGTTTCAAAGGAACTTCCATAGTCTTTGTTCAATTTTTAAGAAAAAAAAAAAAAAGGATATACCACTGACTTGGGACTTACATTAAAAGAAACGTTTTTAAGTGGCTTTCACAGGGTGCCCTTGCTTTACTGCTGCACAGGTCTAGGACTCACGAGGAGGGGCTGTGATGAGCTGTGGGCTCTCTAACCCATCTCCCCAACAGAAAATTCCTTCATTACATTACAGCACTAGATAGTATGTGGATTACCGTGAATACCTGCGTATTTTTGTCCAATGTGGCTTGCGGTCCTGGAGGACCCTCCATGATCACGTGAGAGCAGCTCAGCATTACATCATCCATTAGCAGTTGCATGCCCACCAACTCTCCATGAGCCACCTTACGGTCATGGTCACTCAGCCCACACAGACATAGCTTTAACAACAACAAAAAAAGTCAATAAAATAGCCATTTTGAAAACTTGTAAGCATCGTTTACATATAGTTTTAGAGGAGAAAAATAGGTCTTGCCGGGCTTACAAACCCCACCCTCTCAATTATTAGGAAACCCATCAAAACCAGAGTAACATTTGTAGCCTCATACATCAGACTTTTTGTTCTGTGTGAAGTACAGAGTTTCCCAGGTCTTAAAACGGCAGTCGCGGAATGAGTAACATTCCTGGGAGGTAACAGGTTTGCACCTATTGCTTTGTTGTTGTTGTTGATGTTGTTAAGTGCCGTCGAGTCAGTTCCGACCCATAGCGACCCTGTACAGGGTTTCCGAGGGTGTAAATCTTTACGGGAGTAGAAAGCCTCATCTTTCTCCCGCGGACTTATTGCTTTAGGAAGACAATAAAGACTGACGTGCTTGCTGCCCAACTACTAAGAAGGGAGGTGTCAGAAGCAAAACTGACCTTGTGTTTGTTTACAGTACCTGGCGTCTGGTCCTCAAAATACACTAACTCAGAGGTTTCAGAGAGTCACAGTCATGCCTCACCCCCCCTCCCCCCTCTCCCCCACGTGGCTGAAACAGGAGCAGAGGTTCTACTGCAAAACCTGTGCCCTCAATTCATAAAATACATATTCCACTTACATGGAGCTTCTATATTCTCTTGACCATAACTTGCTAGGAAGAGTTAAAATCTCACCAACCTAGATCATAAACCAATGCTGAAGCATTTTGACAATTTAGGTAAAATATTTGATGTTTTGTTTTTTAAGGAGGAAAAAGTTTATTAGAAAGTAAGTGTGATTATAAATGTGTTTGATTATAAATGTTCTGGGTTCGTAACCTCAAAATGATTTTAACAGACACATGCACACCAGTCCCTCAGACATGGTCCAGTGAGTTCTGACTCATAGGAAGCTTATGCACAGCAGAACGAAACACTGCCTGATCCTGTGTCAACCTCACAGTTATTACTACACTTGAGCCCATTCTGCTGCCACTGTGCAAATCCATCTCATTGGAGGTCTTCCTCTTTTTTGATGGTCCTCCACTTAACTAAGTATGGTGTCCTTCTCCAAGGACTGATCCCTCCTGACAATGTGTCCAAAGTATGAGAGATGAAGTCTGGCCATCCTGGCTACCAAGGAGCATTCTGGCTGTGCTTCTTCCTACACAGATTGGTTTGTTCTTTTGGCAGTCCATGGTACTTTCAATATTATCCTCCAACACCATAAATCAAATGCATCAATTTTTCTATGATCTTCCTTAATCGTTGTTCAACTTTCACATGCATATGAAGTTACTGAAAATATCATGGTTTAGGTCAGGCGCACCTTAGTCCTCAAACTGACATCTTTGCTCTTGAACACTTTAAAGAGGTCTTTTGCAGCAGATTTGCCTATTGCAATACGTCATTTGATTTCTTGACTGCTGTTTCCATGAATGTTGACGGTTGATCTGAGGAAAATGAAGTCTTTGACAACTTCAATTGTCTCTCCATTTATCTTGATGGGTTTTTTTTTTTTTTTTGGTCCAGTGATGAGGATTTTTGTTTTCCTTACATTGAGGTGCAATCCAAACCAAAGGCTGTGGTCTTTGATCTTCTTAAGTATTTTAACTCCTCTTCACTTTCAGCAAGCAAGGTTGTATCGTCTGCAAGTGGCTGGTTGTTAATAAAACTTCCTCTAATCCTGATGCCACATTCTTCTTCATATAATCCAGCTTCTTGGATTATTTGTTCAGCAAACAGATTGAATAAGTATGGCGAAAGAATGCAACCTTTGGTGCACACCTTTACTAATATTAAACCAAACCAATCAGTGTTCCCTTGTTCAGTTTGAACAACTGCCTCTTGGTCTATGTACAGGTTCTTTATGAGCACAATTAAGTGTTCTGGAATACTTCACAATGTTGTGCATAGCTTGACTACACAAAAGCCTCTGTGTAGTTTATAAAACACAGGTGAACTGATTTCAGCCGGTATCCGTCTGACGTCAGCAATCATATCCCTCGTTTTACGTCCTTGTCTGAATCAGGCTTGAACTTCTGGCAGTGCTCCTTGTCAGCGTATAGTTGCAGTAATTCTTAAATTATCTTTAGCAAAATTTTACGTGCGTGAAATATTAATTAATGATATTGCCAATTTCCACATTCTGTTGGGTCACCTCTCTTTGGAATGGGCACAAATATGATTTCTTTCAATCAGTTGGCCAGGTAGCTGTCTTCCAAATTTCTTGGCATAGATGAGTGAGTGCCTCTAGTGCTGCATCAGTTAATGGAAAGATTTCAATTTGTATTTCATCAAGTTCCAGAGCCTTGTTCTTTGTCAATGTCTCCAGTGCGCCTTGGACTTCTTCCTTCACTATCATTGGCTCTTGATCATATGCTCCCTTTTGCAATGGTTAAACACTGACCATTTCTTTTTGGTACAGTGACTCTCATTCCTTCCATCATTTTTTTTATGCTTTCTGCATCATTCACTATTTTGCACAAATAATTCTTCAATGTTACAGGTTGAGGCTTGAATTTTTTCTTCAGTTCCCTCAGTTAGTGAAATGCTGAGCATTTTCTTCCCTTTGGGTTTTCTAACTGCAGATCTTTGCACATTTCATTGTAATATTTGACTTTGTCACCTCAAGGTGCCCTTTAAAATTTTTTCTATTCAGCTCTTTTACCTCCTCATTTCTTCCAGTTGCTTTGGCATCTCTATGATGGTGACAAATTTCAGAGTCTCTTCTGACACCCATTTTGGTCTTTTCCTTCTTAGTGACCTTTTGCTTTTTTCCTGTATGATGTTCGTGATGTCATCCCAAAAGTCTTCTGGTCTTGGGTCATTAATGTTTAAATTAATCAAATCTGCTCTTCTGGTAGCGTAGTGGTTACGAATCGGGCTGCGAACCTTAAGGTCAGTGGTTCGAAACTACCAGCCGCTCCGCGGGAGAAAGATGAGGCTTTCTACTCCCGTAAGGATTTACACCCTCGGAAACCCTGTACAGGGTCGCTATGGGTCGGAACCGACTCGACGGCACTTAACAACAACAACAGCTCTTCAGATGATCTCTAAATTCATGTAGGATATGTTCAAGGTTATATTTTTAATTTTCTTCAGCTTCAGTCTAAACTTGCACATGAGCAAAGTTTGTTCCACAGTCTGCCCCTGGCATTGTTTTGGCTGATGACCTGGAGCATTTCCCTCATCTCTTCCCACAGATGTAGTCAATTTGATTTCTGTGCATTCTATCTGATGTGGTCTATGTATATAGTCTTCTTTTATATTGTTTTAAAAAGGTATTTGCAATGAAGAAGTCATTGGTTTTGCAAAATTCTATCAAGTGATCTTTAGCATCTTTTCTATCACCAAGGCCATATTTTCCAATAGCTGATCCTTCCTTTTTGTTTCCAATCTTTGCATTCCAATTGCTAGTAATTACCAACACATCTTGATTTCATCAATGTCAGACAGAAGAAGTTGGTAGAATTCTCTAGTTTTATCATCACTGGCTTTAGTTGTTGTTGTATAAATTTTAATAATAGTTGTATTAACTGGGCTTCCTTGTAGGTGTACCGATATTATCCTATCATAGTGTTGTACTTAAGATAGGTCTTGAAATTTTCTTTTTGATGATGAATATGACACCATTCTTCTTTAATCTGTCATTTCCAACATAGTAAACCATGTGACTGTGAAACTGGAAATGGTCAGTACAGTCCATTTCAATTCACTAATGCCTAGCATATCCATGTTTATGTGTTCCATGTCATTTGCTGACAACTTCCAATTTTCATAGATTCATACATCACACATTTCATGTTCTGATTATTAATGGATATTTACAGCAGTTTCTCCTCATTCTGAGGAGAAACTGTCAGCCAATGAAGGTCCTGAAAACTCTACTCCATTTGCATCATCACCATCAACTCTACTTTGAGGAGTCAGCTCTTCCCCATTTGAGTGCCTTCTAACTTTAGAGGCTCCTCTTCCAGCACTATATCTGATAATATCCATCAATATGGTAACTCTTCATCATGTCTGAATATTCAATATTCTGGTGCTGACAGTGTTCCACTGCTATTCATAGGTTTTCAGTGACTAAATATTTGGAAGTAGTCTGTCTCCCCTTCTTCCTAGTCTGTCTTAGTCTGGAAGCAGGCTGATACCTGTCTACCATGGGTGACCCTGGAAGCACAGCAATACACAAGCCACCACAGTGCGATAAACTGACAGATGAGGGATTGACACATGCCCCCTTGTATGGTGACTCTGTATAGTGTTCCCAAGGCTGGAAATATTTTTGTGGATCAGAAAGCCTCATCTTTCTCCCATGGAGCAGCTGGTGACCTCAAAACATAGATCTTCTCATTCACAGCCCAGTGCTTAGCCTATGGAGAAAATCCTATAAGGATCCCATAGGGCAGCTCTTCTCTATCATATAGGGTTGGTATGATTTAAAAATTAACTTAATGATACATAGTAACAACATAAGCCAAGGCCTATAACATGATGCATGATACACTTCATTAAGGGAATGTGTTACCTATTCCCAAAATACAAACATAAATGAACTAACTTGACAACTAGATCCTATGTGAAATGGTAAAAACTCACCTGCCTAAAACTCAAGAAGGGAGTTTTACAAGCTATTTAAAAAGTGGTACTCAGAGCAGTGTCAGAGTACACAATAAGCAAGGTAAGCATAGGCTTACTTTTTAACCAACAGTGAACAACTACACATTTTCAACACATCAAAGATTCTGCTTCGAGGTATGTCTGGCATCTGTTTCTTCCAACCCCACAGCATCTTCCCATAGAATCAAAACATCTTTTCATATTATAATCCCTGACAGAGACAGAACACTCAGCAAGCAAGGCAAGCACAAGCTTACTTATATTTACTTACTAATCTGTAGTGTGGAGTTTCACATGCAGTGAACAGTTTCACCACATGGTGAAACCCATGTGAAACTGTTCACTACACATTAGTAGACACAAATAAAACTGTGCTTACCTTGCTTACTGGGGACTCTGCTCCTGGCTCAGAGCTTCCTCTTTCTGAGAATAAAAGCTTTGCAAGAAATTACTTTTCCAGAAATGTCAATTTTAATTCAATGCATGCTATTAGGAGGTTTTTGATAGTTTCACGTAATAATTTGGCAGGAATTTTAAAGGATTGATACCCAGAAGTGACAAGAGTGCCAAGCAAAAGCAGTTTCATAAACTGCTTGCTGGTAGGGTTTTAAATTGGTGTAGACTTCCAAGTAGGGCAATTTATCAATGTAGTTGTTAAGTGCTGTCAAGTTGGTTCTGACTCATAGCGACCCTGTAAAGAGCTTCCAAGGAACAGCTGAGGAAGTTGAACCACTGACCCTGTGGTTCAAACTGACCTTTCTAAGAATTTATCCTAAAGAAACAATCAGAGAAGCTGAGGTATGAAGCTGTACAGGGAAAGAGTAGTTATAGCATTTCAATTTAGAAGCTATTGAAAGATCCAACATCAGAGGTTTAAATATCTAAATTCTGGTAAATTCCTATGATAGAATATTATTACTTCATTACGTAATGGCACTGAGAGAGATTCTTACTATATCAAATCAAGTGAACAGAATGCACAACTGAATATATAATGTTGTTCAATGTTCCTTTAGAAGTACAAATACAAACACATGTAAGCATAGGGAAGAATGCTGGAAAACTGTGATTGTTTTGTAGTGGTGGCACTATGTTTGATTTTAAAAGCCATTATTGTTAGTTTATGTTTTTAAACACTATTTATGGGGAGGTTTGAACATACACAAAAGCAAACAGCATGAATCCAGGTTTCCATCACTAAGTTCAAACAATCATAAATCTGTGACCAGTTCTGACTTATTCCCATCTGCTCTCCACCTCCATATTGAAGCAAGTTTATGGTTGGTTTTCACGTTGTCCTTAATATTTTTAATTGTATTTTTCCTTTAAAAAAATGAAAATACCACAAAATTTCCTTAAATAACCAGAGGAAAACCATAAACTTAAGAAAAAAAAAAATTATCCTCATGAATCCTGCTTGAAATGTTCTCCTCCTACCACTATTCCATAAGGTAAGTCAGGAGCAACACACTTTTGAGTTGTCAGTCTGGGATTTGTTCCTGGAAGCTCAGAGATAGGAGACAGCTGGCCGCTCTCCCAGATAACTGCTGGTCTTGGGATACCAGAGGAGAGCATGAGTCTCACCTGGTATAGTAAAACATGACTCACCTGTCGGGTTTCTAACTTCTTATCAAACACTCCTTATCTCACAACAAGGGCTTAGAGTAAGAAGGACATGACCTCTGGAGCTAATAATGACAACCCTGCTCTGCAGACTGCAGACTGCATCCAGCTCTCTCAGTGATAAATGAGATGATCTACTTTACCTGCATGTTATATTCCAAGGTATCTGGGCTGCTACTCAGAACTGGAAATGGTCCTCCATCTTCCAGAAATGTTCTCCAAGGGAACAACACAAATGCCTAAAACAAAACAAAACAAAAACAAACCCCAAAACAAATAAACATGATTATGTTGTGCCATGGATTGTCAGAAGAACAAACTGATCTGTGCAAATGTGTGTTGGAAGAAGTACAGCCAGAATGCTCCTTAGGAGCCAGGATGACCACACTTGTCTCTCATACTTTGGACATGGTATCAGAAGGGACCAGTTCCTGGAGAAGGACATCATGCTTGATAAAGTGGAAGGTCAGCGAAAAAGTGGAAGACCACCTATGAGATGGATTGGCACAGTGATTACAGCAATGCACTCAAGTGTAACAGCAATTATGAAGATGGCACAGGACTAGGCAGTGTTTTGTTCTGTTGTACACAGGGTCGCTGTGAGTTGGAGACAACTCGAAGGCACTAAACAACAACACCAATGCTGTACTGTATCAATAAGTAATGATGTGCATCTGTATATGAACAGGATGTCTGCAAGTGTACCTATAACACTCTTGGAGGGTTTATTATGTTGAAACACTGAGGATGCAGAGGAAAGAGTGATAATCCTATTTCTTAATAAACAGTTTCCTCCAGAAGGTGGCTTGACACAGAGGGTACTTAAGAATTCAGTGTATGGAGTCAACATCAGTGTTGTTAAGTTACAGAACAGAATGGCACCAATGGGACATACTTATAATAAACAAAAATAAATTTACTCAAATGATCTTAATATTATGATCCCTATATTATGACTGTGACCCAGTTCTAGATATCACAAGATCAATTCCACAATATATAAGTTGGCTTCAAAAAGTTTGTGGGAAAGTGGTATTGAAAGCTAACAGTTTTTTTCCATGAGCTTTTTGAGACCTCCTCTTATTACCTGTCAGCCTCTGTCTTCTCCACATGGTCACAACGTCTTTTTCAACGGTCACAACATCTATTACTCCTTGTGGATGTACATAGTGGGCCTCTACATTCCATCCTGTTTTATACTTCCAGAGCTGGTACTGACTTCAGACAATTCATTGAATGGAAGTTGCCTGAAGTCACTTCAAGTAGCAGGAAGTCAGGACATCTGCATCTACCTAATCCCAGGCAATGCCTAGGGCAGTAGGAGTAGGCCCAACGGCCAAGATAGCAACCCTTTCTTCTGGTTCTAAATAAGGGTGAAGGTTTGGGCCAGGAGTCACTGTTTTGCAGCTAAAATAGGTGAAAGAGTGGAATCTGTTAATGCTGATGTCACTTAGGCTAAGTTTTATAACATTAAAACATCAAGTCAAAGGTTTTGGAGACCTGGACTTAGGAGGTGGTTTTAAAGATATGTCCACAAATTCTTTTTATACTCTTCTCATTAAGATATGGAGCTTAATTCCCCTCCACTTGAGTGTTTATGGGACTTATTAACGTGCTTCTAATGACGGAGTCCTGGTGTGTGGTGCTGTGGGTTAATGCATCAGACTGCAAAGCCATTTGAACTGCAAGGTTGGCGGTTCATGCTCACCAGCTGCTCCTTGGAAACCCTATACAGGGTTGCTATGGGTCGGAACCAACTCGATGGCACTTAACAACAACAACAATGACTAGTATCCTGGTGTGGCGCTGTGGGTTAATGCGCCAGAGTGCAATACCGTTTGAACTGCAAGGTCGGCAGTTCAAGCTCACCAGGTGCTCCTCAGAAACCCTATACAGGGTCGCTATGGGTCAGAACCGACTCGACAGCACTTCACAACAACAACAATGAATAGTATATGGCATAAGTGATGGGGTCTTGTTGATGAGATTAGGTAATAAAAAGACTGTGGCTTCTGTCTTAGTTTCTCTCCATTCACTCAGATTGCTCGCTCTTGAAGAAGCTGTCTGCCATGTTGTGAGGCAGTTCATGTGAATGAACTTGGAAGTGGGTCTTTTGAGGTCTAGTACCTTGTGAGGGTGCTTGGAGGCAGACTCTTCTCTGGTTGAACCTTGAAATGACTACAGCCCTGGTGGGCACCTTGATTGAAGCCTCATGAGAGACATGCATCAGAATTACCTAGTATCGATTACTCAATAAGCAAGGTAAGCACGGCCTTACTTGTGTTTATTAATCTGTAGTAAACGATTTCACATGTTTTCACATCAAAGTTTCTGCTTCTAGATGCACCTGCCTCTCCCAACCCCACTGCACCTTCCTACAGAATCAAAGCCTCTTTCCAAATTTACAATGCCTGACAGGCACGGAATACCCAGTAAACAAGGTACGCATGGGCTTGTGAGGTGGTTTTAAAGATATACCCACAAATTATTTTATACTCTTCTCATCAAGATATGGAGCTTAATTCCCCTCCACTTGAGTGTGTGGAGGACTTATTAACATGCTTCTAATGAATAGTCTAGGGCATAAGTGATGGGGTATTGCTTCTAAGATCAGTTGCTAACCTGTAGCTAACAGTTTAACATAGGTTTCACTACGAGGTAAAGCTATTGATTACTTGTGAAACTGTTTGCTACAGATTAGTAAGTAAACACAAATAAGTCCATGCTTTCCGTGTTTACTAGGAAATCACCCCTGACCAGCCAGATGAACTGTTCTGATTCTCAGAAACAGCACAAGTCTGTGAATGCTTACTGCTTTAATCTGCTAGCCTTTGGGGTAATTTGTTACCCAGCAATAGGTAACAAATACAGCTTGTGATCAAGCGCTGCCATGGTTCTCTAGTGATAGGATCTCTGGTCTTCCTGAACCTTCAAAATTTTAGCTGTAGAAGTGGTGTCATATTGTTTCTGTCCAGGAACAACAAAATTTGCCAAGAACACTTGAGATATACAGGTTGTAACCAGGGCTATTCAAATCAATTACTGACCCAACTGAAGTGTTGTAATTGCTGTCATTATTACTTATTGCATGAAAAAGAACACGTGCTGGCTTTGCCATCAGCTGTGAGGAGACAGTCCATTGCCCTGTGAGCTTTTTGAGCAGTTCAGAGACATGGACCCTGACTGGTCTAACAACTGGCCCCGGGGCCCAGGCTTCTCCCTTAAGTGGACGGAGTCATTGAAGTACTGTGAGCCTCTGCAAAATTTAAGCCAAATAGAAACTGAGTGACAAAATCTTCTACACTCCACACATCTTCTGTTGTTATTAAGTTGTTAAATGCTGTTGAGTCAGTGCTGACTCACAGCGACCCTGTGTAGGGTTTACAAGAAGTGGCTTGTGAGCTTGAGCCGGTGACCTTGCAATTCAGTGCATTAACCTACAGCACCACACCAGAACTCCTTTTTGTTGTTATTAAGTGGCATCAAGTTGGTTCTGACCCATAATGATCCTGTATAGGGTTTCCAAGGAGCAGCTGGTGAGCTTGAACCGCCGACCTTGCAGTTCAAATGGCTTTGCAGTCTGGTGCATTAACCTGGAGCGCCACACTAGTATTCCAGAACTCCATTTGTTGTTGTTATGTGCCGTGGAGTTGGTTCCAACTCATAGCAACCCTGTATAGGGTTTCCGAGACTGTAAATCTTAACGGGAGCAGAAAGCCTCATTGTTCTCCCGCGGAACAGCTGGTAGTTTTGAACTGCTGACCCTGAGGTTAGCAGCCGGATTCATAACCATTACACTACCAGAGCGCCTTAGAACTCCTTTTGGAGGGGTAAAATACCTCTGAGCACACCTGGAGGCTCTGTGGATCCAATGGCAGAGGCAGGCCAAGCTGTGAAGCAAATATGCTCTTCACCAGAGCATTGCTCATTGGTGGCAACCCATGGTACATGCCATCTGTGACAGACTGGTAGGCAGAAACATTTCCAGCTGCCAAAAATGTTGTTCTGGAAAAACACAGGGGGGAAATTCATTAGAAGCAATGATTTACATTTCTAAAGTTCAAAACTTTCTTCAAAGAACTGTGGCAAGATAGCTTTTGAGATATTAATGGAGGTTTCTTCTTCAGCCACCTTTCTTTACTCACTGATCTTCACTCCCCTACTTCAGTACTCAATCAGAAGGTAAACTGTTGACTAGCTGCTTGTCACTGAGCTGATTCTGACCTGTGTGTCAGACCTGTGCTCTACAGAGTTCTCAGTGTGACTGATTTTTCTGAAGTAGATTGCCACACTTTTCTTCTAAGGTGTTTTTGAGTGGATTTAAACCTCTATAACTTTCTGTTCAGGAGCATTAACCAGGCTGCTCTATAGGAAAAAGATGAGGCTTTCTGCTCCCTTAAAAATTTACAGCCTCACAGAGACCATGACATGGAGAGATGGACCAGCTGGGGACTTTAGACCCAGAGAGGGAGAGGGGCTGTGTGCTGATGACGGGGGGGCAGGCTTGCAGGGTATACCCTTTGGTTGGTTGATGATGCATGGAGGGGATTGTAACCATGGCAATGAAACGATATGTGATAGGATGAATGTAAAACTAATGTTCTCCCATGTAAACTATCACATAATTCACAATAAAACATTTAAAAAATTTACAGCCTCAGAAACCCTATACAGAGTCACTGTGAGTCGGAACCACACAACCACAGACTAACAAAGTCCAATAGAACTCTCTGCAATGATGGAAATGTTCTACATGTGCACTCCCCCCAAATTTTAATTCCTATTCATTTAAATGGAACAGTCACATGCCTATTCCATTATGTAATACAGCTATAGCTCTAGGTCAAAGACCTAAATCGTTGAACTACTTTAAGACCAATAACTGAGATGATAAGTTTTTGGTATGTAAAACTGAATGATAAATTAAGTAATACAAGTCTGGGGTTTGAGAGAGAAAGGTTTTTGTTTTGGAATAAAACTGGGCTTTACATATCAAGGACAAAAAACCTTGACAACTATTCCTGTTGTGTGGTGTTGTCAGGTTAGTTCTGACTCATAGCGACTCTACGTACAACAAACGAAACACTGGCCGGTCCTGCACTAGCCTCACAATTGTTATATTGAGTGCATTGTTGCTGCCACTGACATTTATATAGTAAGTCACTGCGAAGGAAGTATGCATAGTAAATTTGGGTGATAGTCTTTTCCAAAAGGAAATAAGAGTTTAGCAAGCCAGGACAAACTTTCTAGATCTATTGGATTCCTAAGAAAAGATGATGCTGACACAGGATAGATTGGAGCAGGAGGGAGCGGAGTGGCATCCGAGAGCAGAAGGGCCCTTTTGCCTGGATTCGCCATGGTGCAGACTCCAAAAGAGAAAGGAAGAAGTGGTGTCTAAGGGAACTGTCAGCAATGGCAGAGGGGGTCTGACCACCGACAGAAATGAGGTGACCTTCCAGAAACTCCCTAAATGCAGAGGAGAGGACAGGTCCCAAGACCCTGCACCAGGAGGGGCCAACCATGAAAGTCTGGGGTTGGACCACTTAACCCAAAGCAGAAATGGGTGAGATGGCTACTCTTCTGTCCTTCCTACCCAGCTCAGAACTTAGATCACCTCTGAGAACAGGAAAGATGAGGAGGAGGAGGGGAAGATGCTTCAATTCACTGATTTCTGTACCTGTGGAGCTTTGGGACAAGTGCATCTTTTCATCAGACCTCTGGAAATTCCAAAAATGCCTAGCCAGCACCAGTGACAACACTCAGACCCTCAGTAGGCAAACCCTTGACTATGCCTTCTGTTTGGGTGGGTCTAACCCCCACAGCTCACCAGCAGCATTCCAAACACAAGAAAACCCAGAGAAATGAAAAGTTAACTTGTTCCTGCCCTGGATATACCTACCAGTCCCCAGCCCCTAACAAGGTTCGGTTTCCCCAGCAGGCTGCTAAGATACCTGAGCAGAAACATCCAACTGTCCAAACTATTCTCCCATACGCTACCCTACCCGCCTTACTGCCAATAAGCATTGAGGGACTCCTAGACCACCAATCATCTTGTGAGAGAGAGAGCTGGTGGAAGTCACAGAGAGCAGGAAGTTCAGAAGGCACATGCTAGAGTTTTTCCAGGAGGCATGAATATTTTAAAACCCTGGTAAGTAGTCCTGAAAGGTGCTCTGGTAGCGTAGTGGTTCCAAGTCGGGCTGCTAACCTCAAGGTCAACAGTTAGAAACTACCAGTTGTTCCAAGGAAGAAAGATGAGATTTTCTGCTCCAGTAAAGATTTACAGCCTTGGGAAACCCTATGCAGAGTCACTAAGAGTCAGAACAGACATATAACCAACCAACCAAGTAGCCCTGAGGAGACCAGACAAGAGTTGAGGCTCTTGGTTTCTCAGACACCTGAAACCCAGGGCAGTGTCAGTAGCTAATCACAACTCCCTGTTATCTGTGTGGTTCCCAGAAATCCCTAGGTAACACTGAAACACACTTCAACATCTACTGTTCTGTTGTTGTGAGGTTCTGTAGAGTCAGTTCCAACTCACAGCGACAGTATGTATGCTCAACAGAATGAAACGCTGTCTGGTTCTGTGTCATCCTCATCATTGCTGCCATGTTTGAGACCAGAGTTGCTGCTACTGTGGCAATCCATCAAGTTGGACTCTTCCTTTAATCTTTACCAAGCAGGATGTCCTTCTCTAGGAACTGGTCCCTCCTGACAACATGTCCAAAGAATGAGGAACTAAGTCTTACCATCCTTGCTTCTAAGGAGCATCCTAGCTTTAATTTTTCCAAGGTAGATTTGTTTGTTCTTCAGGCCGTCCATGATACTTTACTATTCTTCAGCAACACCATTACTTAAATGCATCAGTTCTTCTACGGCCTTCATTATTCACTGCCCAACTTCCAAATTCATTTGAGGTGAATGAAAATACCATGGTGTGGGTCAGGTGCATCTTAGTCCTCAAATGGACACCTTTGCTCTTGAACACTTAAAAGAGATCTTTTGCAGTACATCTACCTCATTGGATATCTTGACTGCTGCTTCCTTGAGCGTTGATTATGGATCCATGCAAAATGAAGTCTTTGACTGTTTCAATCTTTTCTCTGTTTATCATGATGTTACGTATTAGTCAGTCCAGTTGTCAGGAGTTTTGTTTTCTTTCCAATGAACTGGAATCCATCCTGAAGGCTGTAGTCTTTGATCTTCATGGGTAAGTATTTCAAGCCCTCTTTGCTAATGAAGTACAAACCTAATTTTCTCGGTGGACACCCAAGCTAACAGTCCGTGGGGAAGCAGTTAGAAGCCACGGGGAAAACACCCTCCTCGGAGGGTCTTCTGCATTGACTAAACACTTACGTGGGAATTTATCAAAGGCCGTTACTTAATTTTAGTAATTTAAGCAGAGACCTTCAGGTTTGTTCCTTTTCCTCTTCCCATACAATACCTACTTAATACTAAAAGCATTTTGAATCATAACCTAAATGAATTATCTCATCAGAGTCATAATTAAACAAAAAGAACATTCCCCCCCCCAATTGCACAATGCTTAATCAAACAGCCCAGAAATAAATATATTTATTTATAAACTGAATTAAGGTAGTCATGTCCATTGGCTTCGAACACGACCTGAAAAACCTGTCCTTGTGAATGGGAAAGAAAAGTTGATAAAAAGAAACCAAACTCTTAGGAATAATAATCCTCAGAAGTATAAAAAAATGTTAGTTCCAAAAAGATAGCCTGAACACCAAAAGCAGCCATCAATCTGCAATGAACTACGGCTTTTAACTCACAGTAATAAAATCAAGAATAGTGTTATGCAACAGGAAATCTTCCGCACAGACACTTTGTAGCAGGACAGCCTTGATTCCTGTTGTTTGGGATCAGGTGGTGCCCCTGACTATTTTTAGCTCATTATTTAATCTTGCCAAGACTGCCTGCCTGCGTGGTCACTCAGCAAACACCTCCCAGCAGAATCAGTGCCCTGGGCCATACCGGATGAGATGCCTTACTGCAGCATCAAACTGCAGAAACATAACCTCCTTCCGGAGGAGGAGCGCCTGGGCCACCTGGTTGGGGTCTTGGGGGCTCTGAAGGTTGTCAATCATTTTCTGCAACTCTTGGAGTCCAGCTCCTAAAAAACAGACATTTTACTCTGACAGTGTGAACCCAGCGAAGAATCATCAATTCACCCCGAAGAACCAACGTTTCACCTAAATCCCTCTGTTTGTGCTGTGTGTGCTAATTATATATTTTGCAAGACAAGCTCTAGAACCCAAGGTACCATTTATCTTTCCTTCCTTCTTTTGTCCCTGTGGAAGATAAAACCTTGCTTTGCTTTTCATCACCATAAGAAGATGCTCTTGAAAGTTTTAAGATTTCTATAGGATAAGCATTGGACTGTAAACCGCAAAGTCAGCAGTTCAAACCCACCAGCTGCTCCTGGGAAACCCTAATAGGGTGGCTATGAGTCGGAACCAACTTGATGCCACTTAACAAGTGTCTAAATAGAAAATCGGTCCATGTACTAGGCATTGAAATGATTATAGATTATAAACCACATACATTTCTCACCATCATGCTTTCCAAATCCACCCTCCCTGTCATTGGCTTGTGAGGTAAAGACTGCAGACTATCCAAAGCATGCAAACACACACACACACACACACACACACACACACGTCCATGTACATGCACACAAGGAACCCTGGTGGCACTCTAGAATAAGCACTGAACTGTTGGCAGTTCAAACCCACCAGCTGATCCAAGGGAGAAAGATGAGGCTTTCTGCTCCTGTAAAGATTTACAGCCTCTGAAACCCTATGCAGTGTTACTCTGAGTAGGAATCGACTCTGTGGTAATGAGTTTGGTTTTGTTGCTCAAGATACAGACACATACTTGTCCTTCTAGGAGTTTCTAGTCATTTTAGGAGTGGATGTGGGAGATCTCTGATTGGCTTATTTCTAAGAATGTAAGATGAGGTTGGGTATAAATAGGTTTACATATGTTTTTAATGGAAATTTAAGTTAGGGGTTTGGGGGCACACTCAGTGTTCAGTTGAGGAACCTGATCTGGATGGCACCATTATTGGCACAGGGCAGAAGCTGGTGAGGCACAGGGAGCAAGCACTCTAGTGGCCTGGGGTGGTGATGGGGTGGGAGGGTGAGTAAGCCTGCATTTGCAGGGCTACCAGATTGCTATGAGGTCTGAACTGTGCATCAGCTCCCTGTGAGGGTGGAGAGGGTTTGCTCCCCACAGAGGACATCCCTATGGAGGGAAGACAAGGATTATGGAAATTGATAGGCAAGCTGGGAGATCCATGGGCTTTTGCCAAAAGTGACCCAGTCTTTGGCCTCCTCAGCAAGGAAAGTGTGTGGAGTGGGGAAGCTGTCCATGAACCTCAGTCCAGGGTGGATAATGGTTGTTAGCACTTTGGCTTTAGGATAAAATAAGCAGTCCAGAGGCAACCCAGTGGCACACAGGGTTAAGCATCAAGCTGTTAACCAAAAGGTCAGCAGTTTGAACCCACTACCTGCTCCTCAGGGGATAGGTGAGAGGCTGCTTCCACAGAGATTTACAACCTTGAAAACCCATGGAGCAGTTCTCTGTTCTTTGAGGTCACTCTGAGTCCGAAGTGACTGGACCACAGTGGATTTTTTTAAAGTAGTTCTAGCTCACATTTATAAATAATAAAATAATGAAACTTTGTTATTTCTTTTTCTCCAGCCTCAAAATAATTGGGTCTAATCATCAAATTTTTATGACTCCTCTGAATTGATGGTCAGCCCTTTTGTTAGACTGAAAAGAAACTTCTACCAGAAGAGAAGTCACATTAAGGAGAATTGTACAAGAATTTTTATACAATGTTTGTGGGGTCAGCAATGGGCCTCATTTGTTTAATGCCTAGTGGGTCTGATCTCAAGGCAACACACTCTGTCAAGCCAAGAAGCACTGAAGGAAATGTTTATAATGCTCTGCAATATTCATGAAAAAGGAAAATGTGAATTGCACAAACCCTATGATTAAAACTATATAAAAAAAAAAATGGATTTGGACAAGGCCTGGAACGAAGGAAAGGCTAATGAAAAGAGTTCATTTGTTAGACTAGTTGGATTATGTTGTTGTTGTTATGTGCCTTGGAGTTGGTCCCGACTCATAGCAACCCTGTACAGGGTTTCCGAGGCTGTAAATCTTTACAGGAGCAGAAAGCCTCATCTTTCTCCCGCGGAGCAGCTGGTAGTTTCAAACTGCTGACCTTGTGGCCCACAGCCCAATTCATAACAACTACGCTACCAGAGCTCCTTAGTTGGATTATAGGTGACTTTTTTTTTTAAAGTTTTTATTGTGAATTCAATGAAAGTTTACAGGGCAGATCATCAGTTTACATTCAACAAATCATATACTTTGTTTCATTACTATGGTCATAATTCCCTCCATGTACCAGCTGTTCCGTGGCAGAAAGATGAGGCTTTCTGCTCCCGTAAAGATTTACAGCCTTGGAAACCCTGTACAGGGTGGCTGTGAGTTGGAACCGACTCCATGGCACATAACCACCACCACTACCATTAGTTAACAGTATTTCTCTCTATTCATTTTAACTCCTTTTTTTTTTTTTTTAAACATTCAGGCATATATAATAATTTACACTACCAAAGGGCACATTCTGCAAGTCTGCCTCCTGGCCGCCAACTCTCAGTCCATCTCGTTTCATGAATCTAGAGTCCTCAGCTCTAGATTCCCTCTCTCCATGTCCCCATCTCTGGCTGTCGCTGCTTCTCTGGGTAAGTCTCACATTCCACTTGTGTTCTTCTCTCTTGATGATCTTAGGGTCTTTTGTTTCTGGACTGTAAGATTAACTACTCCACCATTTTTGTTATAAAACTTCTACCTTTACAACTGTGACAGTCACGAATCGTCATGATAACAATTACTCACTATTGAATCATAAGAATCTTAGCCCCATCTCTTTTTACCAGACCCATCTAGACAAGATGAAAACCATTCAGTGGGGATCTAGCTGAGTTTTTAACAGAATGCTGTTTGTGCAGTAAGTATAAATTAGGAGAAAAATATACACACTTTTTGCATGATCAAATAATTTCACAGCAAAATAGTTACGTGCTGATGCATGGCTGTTATGGAGTACATTGTGTCTCTTCAAAAGATACATGAAGCCTTAACCTCCTCACCAATAAACTCAGTGTTGTTGTTAAGTGCCATTGAGTCAGTTCTGACTTACAGTGACCCTATACACAACAGAACGAAACACTGCCCAGCCCTGCACCATCCTCACAACTATTGTCACATTGAACCTACAGCTGCTGCCACTGCATCTTTCCATTTCATTGGGGTCTTCTTCTTTTTTGTTGACCTTCCACTTTTTCAACTATGATGTCCTCCTCCAGGGACTGGTCCCTCCTGGTAATATGTTCGAAGTACAAGAGATGAAGTCTCACTATCCTGGCTTCTAAGGAACATTCTGGCTGTATTTCTTCCAAGACAGGTTTGCTTGTTCTTCTGGCAGTCCATGATGCTTTTGATATTCTTCACCAAACCACAATTCAAATGCATTGATTCTTCTCTGGTCTTCCGTATTCATTATCCAACTTCACATGCATATGAGGTGATTGAAAATACCATGGCTTTGGTCAGGTGTACTTTAAACTGATAATCTTTGCTCTTGAGAATATTAGAAAGGCCTCGTGCTATAGATTTGCCTAATGCAATACGTGGTTTGATTTCTTGACTGCTACTTCCATGAGCATTGATTGTGGATCTAAGTAAAATGAAGTTTTGACAACTTCAATCTTTTCTCTATTTATTATGACGTTATTTGTTGGTCCAGTTGTGAGGATTTTTGTTTTCTTTATATTGAAGTGCAATCCATACTGAAGGCTATATGTAGCCTTTGATATTTATCAATAAATAATTTAAGTCTTCATCACTTACAACAATCAAGGTTGTATCAACTGAATATCACAGGCTGTTAATGAGTCTTCCTCCGATCCTGATGCCACATTCTTCTTATTAATCCAACTTCTTGGATTATTCATTCAGTATACAGATTGAATAAATCTGGTGATAGGATATAACACTGGCAAACCATTCAGTAGTCCCTTGTTCTGTTTGATGAACTGCCTCTTGGTATAGATAAGCTACTCATGAACACAGTTAAATGTTCGGGAATACCCATTCTTTGCAACGTTATCCCTAGTTGGTTATGATCCACATAGCTGAATGACTTTGTAAATCAATAAAGCACAAGTAAATAATCTTTCTGGTATTCTCTTGTTTTTAGTCAAGATCCATCTGACATCAGCATCTCTTGTTCCATGTCCTCTTCTGACTCTGGCTTGCATTTCTGGCAGTTCTCTGTCAATGTAGTGTTGCAATCGTTTGTAAATTATCTTCAGCAAAATGACATTGTTCAATGATTTCCACATTCTGTTACGTCACTTCTCTTTATAATGGGCACAAATATGGATTTCTTCCAATTGGTTGGCCAGGTAGCTGTCTTCCAAATTTCTTGGCATAGATGAGTGAGGACTTCCAATGTAAATTAGTCAGGGAACAGGATCTTTGAAGATGCTGTCAGCCAACAGGTGATACTGGAATAGTGTGAGTACTAGTTCAAGATGAATAGTGTCTTTTTTTTAAAAAAAGGAAAAGAGACATAGGCATGGAGAGAAGATGGTCATGTTAAGAAAAAGGCAAGAGATTAGAGTGATATATCTACAAGCCAAGGAATGGCAAAGATTGGCAGGAACCACGAGAAGCTCAGACTTAGGCAAGGAAGACTCTTTCCCTAGAGACTTTAGAGAGTATGATCCTTGGTTTTGGGTTTGTCTCCTCCAGAATGCAACAATGGGCTGAAATATAACAGCAGTTGTGAGGATGGCACAGGACTAGGCAATGTTTCATTCTGGTACGCCTAGGGTCGCATGAGTTGGCAGCAACTCGACGGAACCTAAAAACAACACCACCCTCCAGAACTATGAGACAATAAACGTCTGCTCTTTTAAGCTACCCAGTTTGTGGTACTACCTGTTGTTGCTGTTGTGTGCTGTGGAGTTGATTCTGACTCATAGTGATCCTACAGAGTAGAACTGCCCCATTGTGCTTCTTAGGTTGTAA